CCACCGTTACAACGTATTTGATAGACAACTGCTGAGGTTTCAGTGAATGGCAATATGTCCTTGGGTTGCAGCAGACGGCGACGAATTGTTGCCTGGGGTCGGTGGGTTGTAACAGTCGTGTTGCCAAAGATTTACAGACCCAGGATCCGGATTCCGTCAACGCCGGACGTGATGTCCGAGCCATTCGACCGCAGTGGCTAACATGGAAATCGAAACTTTTTCAGGTTCACCTCTTCCCGAGTTATCTACAAGACCCTTTTGGTCCTGCTGAGTAGATAAAAGGACTCAGACAAGCAACATTTACTTCGAATACATCAAAAGCGTTCTCGATTGATAATTATTATTTGCGTAGATCCAGTAGGTGCATGAGACACAACGAAGTACCATTTGCACATCAAATGAACAGCCTCAATCCAACTAACGGGACCGTCATGAGCTCACTTCTGACTAGCGTTTCATGAGACAGTTGGGAAGAAGGCAAATTAAAGTCACTGATATAATTACCCATCACACCCCGTATGCTGGTATCTCAGCCGAGACAGAGGACATAGCAAATTCAGGTGGGGTGATGGAAAAATTGAACAACACGTGTCCGCTCGTAGCCTTACAATGGAGAATGCATGCAATATGCTCTTCGCCACTGAAAATCTTCGCGGAGCATACTGTCCTTGAACATAAAAGCGCACGTCCGGTGAGAGAGCACCAACGCTAGAATACTGTTGGCAAAGGAGACCGGAACAGCTACTTCTGACTTGTTTTTAGTCGACAGCCAGCTACACCACCGCCCCACGTCGGGCGGACTCGTATTTCATTACGCGATCAGAATTTCTTATGAGCATCACGTAAAAGTCACTTGGAAGATTCCCGAGCCTAACTGACAGAGCTCGATAACGGGGGCCAATGTTCGGTAGTTTGTTGATTAATCAAACGAAATCACGGTCGAGCCCCGTGTTTGTCAGGCCCGGGTTTGGGTACGGCGGTTCCATTTTGACAGTCACTGCGCCTATATCCACCCCAGTTGCTTCGACTTTATGATGTTGCTGGAATGCAAAGGGGAGTTTAGTAAGATAAAGTGAGTCTGGCGATGTGCAAGTCAGCCTCAACATAAACAAATTCGAGCGTAAACCACAGTTGTGCCCATGTCGGACGCAGGAGTGGGCCGCGTCTCTCTCTCGCCCTCTGTCGGCAATACGTGTCTAGAGTACACACCGTTGTCGCTGCGCGATTGCCTGTGAGCTCCAAGACAAAATGAGAGGCCCGTATTCACTCCGGAAACCCCCATGATTACAGCATATCTTTATTTCAAAAATAAAGAGGAAGTGAAAGAGGTTTCTCGAAGGACATCCAAGGGGTTAATTTAAAAATCTAAATGAAGCACATCCTGGGCCAGCTGTGCGGCATCGAACCCATCCACGGACGCACGCGTCCAGGGCACTTGGAAAAACTTGGTTTTACTAGAATGGAAGGAAGTAAACATGTGGGAGGATTAGTTCGGAAGTGTGGATGGAATAAGTGGTAACAGTTCATCAAATAGGGAGACGCTCTTCCGAAATAGCTCTTTTCCCTTACCTTTTCGGGGGAAAATATAGGGTCCACACCCAGCAAACATACGGCGACTGTCTGCAAAGCATGCCGCTTCCAGAAAAGAGGTCTGAAAATATCGGTTCGTATATGAGTTCATGGTCAGGTGCCTACGTGTTTAACGTGTATGCGGAAACAGCTGTCACTACAACTGATCCGACCACCGATAATTGACAACAGTAGATCCGGCAAGTTCAGGTCGCTCCTTCACAGATATGGAGGGCAATATGGCAGACAATAAGCCACCTTTAGATCCGGTGAGGTTTTGGACTAAACGTCTCTAACTTGCGTGTGAGGTAAGGCGGCAATTGACTCAGACGGTGACGATTTCGGAACCAGAATAACAGGACATAACACTCCTTGCTGATGCCGTTGTTAGGAATCACCTCAGAAGACAAAATCCTGGTATCCGAGGAGCAGTCTGAAATTTTCGCTTCCATTGCCAGTTGACTGATCGGATAGATTATGCCTTCCCGAAGTTAGCTTTTTTGGCCTGACAGAGTTCTTTGAGGGAGAGGGGGGATCAACGAATTCTAGGTCATCAATTAGTACACATGTATAATTCCTCGATGTCACTTTTGCCGTGCTTCGGAAATTCTCGAGGCACTTTTGCGAAGTTGAAACAGACAATTAAGCCAGCAGGGATGTTCGTGCCAAAAAGTCGGTGGGCATCTACCTCCCTTTTAAGGGTGATAATGTGTCAGACGCGACCAAACTAAAGCTTCAATGTAAGATTGAAGGAACTAACCAACTAAAGACATCCTGTCAATGCCCGCCACATAAAACTGTATTTATGAGTTTACATGCAGTTGCGGATACAAATGTATTCGGCGCACGAAAAGGCAACACGATCAGCTGAACGCATGCCAAAGTGGCTGTTAAGGGCGGAAAATAAAGCACCCCCAGACGTTCCATTATGAAGCACCTGGTTGACATTGGCCGTGTGGTGGACCCAACGACCGCATCTATGGTCCTACTTCGGGTGACAACCGGCCGTCTCCTACGTCCGAACTGTAAGCAGCTGGATCACGTGATTAACTTCCTACTGTCATGGTGGGATTCGGCAACGGAAATAACCCCCTTCGTCTACCAGTTTCCTCACTGACTCTCAGCCCGCCAGTCCGGGACTCCACATATACTCCTAACTAGGCAGACTGCACCGAGATAGCCTCCGACTCGAATAACACATGCAGCAAAGAAGCAGCATGGAGATGGAGCCGAGAGCAACTTGATCGGGTTCATTGTCCTTTCGCTTGTGAGGGTCGTAGTTTGAGTCCCATGGCAGAATGGGGCGAGTATGTCCAGTAACGCGATCGGTGAGCGCCCTCTACCGGCTTTAGCACACCCGATCGCATCTGACAGGACAATTAGCCTTTGTTTCATTGGTTCGGGCGTTGGACTAATAACCAGCAGAGCGCCGGTTCGAGCCTCAAATGCTCCCAAACCTGGAGTTCGGCACGACTGGTTGACGACGGCTAACAAGCCTAAAATTACCACCCAGGTCTCCTTCGTCTTTGTCGGTAATCCCACTCTTGTTTAAATTATTTCTTACGGCGATTATAACTGTGGTTTTCG